TTTTAACGAGTGTCTTAAGAAACCCGGGTTGCAGAAGCGGTTTGATAAAATCCTCTTCAAAGATTCCTTTACAAGGGGGGAAAATGCTGTTAGTAGAGTAACATAGCGGTGAGGCAAATCACGATAATATGTACAGTTAGCCAAGCCTAAAAGAGGAGCTCCTAATTACAATAGCGATCCAATCGAAAACCTGTACCTAAGCAGCCATCAACTCCAACAAAACACATGATCTCGATGAGTTCTAAACATGCACCCGCGATATGGTCACGTGATACTGGTCATCAGATACCTTGTTTAGGCAGGTGCCAATTCAACATAACGCGGATGCCCAACATCAAAGATGTATGCTGTAAACCCGCCCCTCCCAATCTCTTAGGGGAAAGCCCTGAAAACGAGGTTGTTGCAGAGGGTGACATTTCATACTGATTTACATTAAGGGGTGTACAGACGTATGGACGGACGGATGGACAATCACGTAACAACAAACATTTTTTAGCTGGATAGGTTACCATCGGGACCGGTGGGTTACCGGGATTCCGCTCACGCGCCCTAAGCGCGCAGGAGGTCCGCTATAATTCAACTGTCCCGGTTTTAACACTGCTGTGGACAGCTAGTAAACCAACAAATACTGCAGATGGAACATTGATTTTATATACACTTAACAAAAACCCCAGCTGATGGAAGGCTAACCAGCTGACTTTTTACAAACGTAAGCGCAGCCGAGGAGTTGAACTCAGGACTATACTGAGAACAAATCCAGTTAGCAGCAGTTTGAATTATTTGAACCAAGGACGTGACAATTAAAATCCAGCGCTAGCTATTTTACGGCTGCCCCGCCGCCTGTGAAAACATCAGAACCTTACCCTTAGCTCCTTTGATTGATATGTTACGGAAATACGACGTCAACCGTTAATGCCAGCTTTACATTCTTCGACAGAGCGCACCATTCCAACCAAAACACCGTATTCCATGTTCCTCCTGTATTGAACAAACGTTTCTTTAATCCCTGCCAGCTTGCTTAGTAGATTCTCCAAGTCTTTTGTGGAGTTTGGCTTGAAGTGATTCAAACTTTTCTTCATTTCGGAAGGGGTATCGCACAGAGGTTGCCAACACCACAAATTGGGACCCATTAGGAAATCACCCGCGTAATAGTTCACATCATAAGGGGTTCCAAAAACGTGCTGTAAATAATGCTTGACTTGAGCCAAAGCCTTCCTCTCGCGTGGCTTTAGTTTATGCACCTCAAAATGTGTCTTGTTTATTTCATCGAGTAGCGCCCACGCTTCGTCAGTGATAATCTTGATGTTGCTCGGGGATGGGTCGTAAGAGCGATATTTTCCCCGTATTTCAGTCGGCGACACCCTCGGCTTGTAAGCGATTCTATTTGGGTGAAGCCGGTAATAACTATCTTGTACTTTCTGAAGAAACGTGTCCAAGCCGACGCGGACAGCTTCGTCTGAGTAAGAACATCTGTCCGATGTGTGGGGAGAGCTCTCATCACATGGTGTGTCACGTGTCAGAAGAACGATTCCTGTGATGAGACAAATAAGCCCAGTGGTGGCCAGGAACCCCGCTAACACCAAAAGCAGGATAACACGCATGACCAAATTGGGGACACGTCTGCTCAGATTCTCTTAAGAGGCACGTGCCTTTCCTAAATACTATGGAAAGATAGACACAAAGTAAATGTAATGAAATGGCCATACCTTCTCACAGAGTATTGCCAAAGCATACATCTTAATTTAAATAAAATGAACTTCATCATTTAAACATATTAACAAAATTAATTAATAAGGCTATATAGATTATTACATAGTTTTTAACAATACAGTTTCGATATAGCGCGCGCAGTGAGCTATTTCTAGATTTTGCCTCGCCAATTTGACGAATTTGACCCAAATTATAAGTTCCCTAAGTCTCAAACAATGGAAATGACTCAAGCTAGTTGTCTGCAGTAAACATAGCTGCATAGAGGCCATTGTTAACAACAGTAGTGTTAAAACTGTAGTAAAAGATTGCTGGATTCGAACAAAACGGTAAAATATCACACAGTGCATGAAATTAAAAAAAACTCTATCGAATGCTTCCATAAAAGACATCATGTTTGTTACGAAGACAGAAATAACACTATACATGTAAAACAACGACAGAAAACACCAATTGAGCTGTCTGCATTTATGATGAGAAGCTTTGTTTTTGCTAACATGTTCGAACAACAAATACGCCAAATACTCGTTTGAAGTTTGGTTTCAAAATATTAGCCTAATGCGTGAACAAATAATAGATTATTCATCCTAAAACAAATAAAGAAGCCTCGACGGTTGTTCAGTTGTAAAGCACTTAGGAAGCGGTAGAGTACTCAAGAACGGCTTAAGCCTCGTCCAGAACACAGTCGAGGCTTCTCTATTTTTTAATTTAACTGGCTTCTACAGAGATAGTTGTGTGTTATTCGGGAGGTTTCAAACATATGCGTTTGTAACTTCCCAGTATTTTTGCTGCAAACTTTCATGTCTTACATGTAACTGTAGTGAACTTTTCTGACCTTATATCACTAATGTAAATGAAAATGCAAACGTGAAACCCAAGCCATACTGAATACTAATCTAACCGCTATAATCGGTTACTATTAATAGATTACAAGGTCACAAAGTTCATAGTATTGCCAATTCCTATTGAAATCCGTAGTTTTGAATAAACGTCACAGCATGCAAAGTTTCAAGTTGGAAATGCAGGATATTTGCTAATTTTCAGACTCGAGGGAATTCTGATATTTCAAATCACTCCACTGAGATAAATGATGCTTGTACAACGGAACCCCTTAAAATTTCCTCTCAAACTGTTGCGCTTTGTTTCCACACTAAAGTGCTTCATGCTATCCGCTCGTATGGCCAATTTTTCCGTGCGTCCCAGTAAGTATATCCACACGAAACAGGTGCACCAAAATTTTATCGCAAATTTGAGCCTATGTAAAATTAAATCAATGAATTTGAAGATGCTGAAACCAGGATGAATGGCTGCGTGACAATGAATACATCAAGTCGTGAGCGGTAAAGCATGAATAATCTTATTCGAGACAATCAATAAGTATTAACTTGCATCCACTTGTCAAGATCAGAGATTTGAATAGATTAACAAAATAATGCAAACAAACGTCGGCTTTAGTGCGATGCTCGTTGATCGTAATAACTCTCAGCTTTTTCAGAACTGTTAAATGCAACTTTTGGTGTTAAAAACTGANCGTATGGCCAATTTTTCCGTGCGTCCCAGTAAGTATATCCACACGAAACAGGTGCACCAAAATTTTATCGCAAATTTGAGCCTATGTAAAATTAAATCAATGAATTTGAAGATGCTGAAAACAGGATGAATGGCTGCGTGACAATGAATACATTGTCTTATTCGAGACAATCAATAAGTATTAATTTGCATCCCCTTGTCAAGATCAGAGATTTGAATAGATTAACAAAATAATGCAAACAAACGTCGGCTTTAGTGCGGTGCTCGTTGATCGTAATAACTCTCAGCTTTTTCAGAACTGTTTAATGCAACTTTTGGTGTTAAAAACTGAAAAGTTAAGCCTTCTACTGGCTGTATTACCCTCTTTACTCTTGGTCGATAGAGGAGTCGAGATTTCAGGCGATCTGATCAGTGCATTGCCAGATGAATTTAAATTATCTCTACTAGATGCTGTATAGGGTGCAGCAACCGTGAGCTTATGACGAAACAATGTGCACGCGCCTCAGATTCTACTCACAACTGGCCTGCAAGGGCTAAGAAATTAGCTTTTGGAAGGTTTATATGTTTAGCAGGTTATTCGTCATGTTGGCGGTCGTAGACAGAGAAAGCATCCTTAAACCCTCGTCAAATGCAGTGCACGAACGAACAACTAGGATCAACACAAAACTAAGAATTTAAATGTTACCTTTCTGACTTCTTTCACCGCTTAAGCTTGAGAGGAATCAGTACTTAAAATACAGCACATTGCACCATCAGCTGCCGATACGTGAGGACAATTCAGACGCATGTCAATTAGCTTCAATTTGAAGTCGTCAATCATTCAACCATAGAGTCACTCTTGGATGATTGCTTAGTTTGTTTGCGTGACAGAAGGCTCTCTCGCGTGAAAGAAAGACAAAGCCCCCAAATTAAAAGGCGAGGAGGAAGTGTTTTGTTACGTGCCAGTGCTTCGTACCACAGAAGTGAATTACACAAGCGATAGTCTGGGTACGTTTTCCATTTGTTTTGTAATACCGGGATTTCTTTTTTGTTGTTTTTTTTTTTCTTTTACTATTTTGTTTTGTTCATTCGGTTGGAAACCAAATGGAGGGGGCTTTCAACTGAAAATTATTCAGACAATATGGAAGACCTTCAGAGGCATTCTACTTTTCTAGCTTTTAACGGAATGATCGGAAATATGCAGCCGTTTAGGTGGGAAATAAAATAGAACAGCCCTTTCCAAAGGAAGGTTTTCAACTGATGTCAAATAGTACACGCTCATCCCACCTCAACTGCTGGTGCAAATTTATACTGTTACCAAAAAATTCTCATCGGCTCTCTCACATAAATTGAAAACGCTCTAAGACATCAAATTGAGATTCACCTCTTGAATGTTTCATTTCAACACAGTCATGACCAATCATTTACTAATATTGACAGGAATTTTGTAAAAAAAAAATCACTCTGGATTCAAGTTCCTAGAATGTGTAAAATGAATAGATAGTATCATCGTTGGAAGTTTGCAGTTTCTCGTTTTTTGTCCTTTTTTTTTTTCCTTTTGTTAATGTTTATTTAGTTCTTATAAATCGACAGTTTTGCGGTCTTCAACTCCGTAGAAAGTCATGTCTTCGGACGGGGGACTTGGATGTTCTCTTTATAGGAAATGATAAAGAAACCTCGCGTAATCTATGCAAATATTAAACGCCGTGAAAGAAGGAGGGATGTTGAAAAATTAAAGGCCGAGAGAAAGGACTTCTCTCAATTTCCACCAGTTTGCTCAAGATAATTCTAGCCTGACTTAAGCGTTCGATTGTATTATCGAAGAATATTTTCAATACGTTTACAACAAATGAAGTCAGGAACATCCATAATAAATCTACCATAAATATAGAAGTCGTTCTGCATTGCGTGACGGAGAAACCTTGAGAAAACAAACAAACATAAATGGGTGACTGCCATGACCCGCACCCATATGTTACTTGGTTTTGATATCATGAGGCTGGAGTAGGATTGCTTCACTTGTAACTGTCTCCTCACAGGCTTCATTTGAGAAGGTACCGTGTCATAGCCATGGTTTATAGTTCCACTCAGTTTCGGGCTCCGGGACAATTCATTAATGGGGTCCTTGGTCTTGCTGAAACGCAGGAATATGATCAGTTGCCACGGAAATCGTGACATCTGTCGACTTGGCACTGTTCAGGTTTACAGCAGCGTTTCTGCAAGTGCACTAAGGGAATTTTTTATTTCTAGCTTTGTGGAATTTGTGTCGGTATTTGTGTAGTATTTGTTTTCGGCTGGGCAATTCTGTTAGGGCAGCTCCCAAACTCAGAATGAATCATTTCAAAGTGAAACTGAAAGGAAATCATTAGCATAACATAGTAACGACGTTCCCCTGCCCCCTCCCCCCAAAACTTCAGCGACCCTCCGAGAATAGCGATGAAACATCACGGTTGTTAACAAATCCTCCATGAAGCGACCTCCTAAAATAAATGCAGTGACTTAAATCGTAACTCGATTTTTATGACTTTTTATCAATAAACACTTCACTTGGAACATTACATGTTAAGCATTTCACATGATTTCAGATTAAAGAAAAAAATTGCTTTCCGTTAGATGACTCGTGGATTATATCCAACTGAAAAATCATAGTGATATTTAACGTTTTCAATTCTGAAGCTCATCGTTCTGCAGTTTCAAACACAACTCTGGATTAACCTTGTCTGCGCGACTTCCTCTTACGATACGCAGAGAAAGTGGTATAATAAGTGAAAAGAACAACTTTTCAAGAGCGAGGTGTGAGGGCAAATAAAGAATTCTTTTCACGCGGGGAGGGTTCTGTGCCGGTAACACGTAACTCCAGTGCACAAATTATATGTCACAGAATGTCTCAGGGAAAGCATATTAATTAATTTTTGTTGGGAATCATACGTGATCCACTCCAGAATTTACGTTTTTCCTCGGCCAGATTCTTCGGGTTTCATCCAAAAATATCCCGGTTTAGGAGAGTGCCAAATACTGAAAGCTAACGCAGATACATACTTTTGAATAGCATTTTTACGTTTTGTGCGTCTATATGCAGCTCTATTTCGCTTTACTCTATCCCTTGCATCTTTTTAGGGTACGTGAAAAGGAATTACGCCCCTTTCACCACAGCGGCAGTTTTCTCACCATCAAGTCATGCGCGTCATCCTGCTTTTGGTGTTAGCGGGGTTCCTGGCCATCACTGGTCTCATTTGTCTCATCACAGGAATCGTTCTTCTGACACGTGATACATCATGTGTGGAAAGCACTCCACAGACATCGGAGAGATGTTCTTATTCAGACGAGGCTGTCCGTGGTGGCTTAGACACTTTTCTCAAAAAGGTGCAAGACAGTTATTACAGGCTTCACCCAAACAAAATTGCTGACAAGCCGGGGGTGTCGCCCACTGAAATACGGGGAAAATATCGCTCTTATGACCCATCCCCGAGCAACATCAGGCTTATCACTGACGAAGCGTGGGCGCTACTCGATGAAATAAACCAGACGAATTTTGAGGTGCATGAACTAAGGCCACGCGAGAGGAAGGCTTTGGCTCAAGTCAAGCATTATTTGCATCACGTTTTTGGAACCCCTTATGATGTGAACTATTACGCAGGTGATTTTCTATTGGGCCCCAATTTGTGGTGTTGGCAACCTCTGTGCGACGTTACGTATGAAATCAAGAATAGTCTGTATCACTTCAAGCCAAATACAACAAAAGATTTAGAAAAGCTGCAAAAGAAACTAGCAGAAATTAAAGAAACATTTGTCCAGTACAGGAGGAATATGGAATACGGTGTTTTGGTTGGAATGGTGCGCTCTGTCGAAGAGTGCAAAGCTGGAATCAACGGATTGACGTCATATTTCCGTCAGATATCAATCAAAGGAGCCAAGGGTAAGCACCAATGCTGATATCAAAATTTTCCTATCTTGCCTCGTGGCAGTTTAAGTTTCTAGTTTTGTGCCCCAACTTTGTGGGCTCATAAGTCTCATTTACCGTCTTTTCAAAGGAGTCCTGGAAGAAGATTTCGTCAATCGTCTTCTGCAACCCGAGTTTCTTGAGGCTCTTGTGGAAAATAAAGAAGAAAGCAAGACATGGGAAAATAGATATAGAAAGTCTGTGAACGACTCCTTGAGAGAGTCTTTGGTTGAAAACGTCGGAAAATCCATCGAAGAGTTATTCACGTAAGAAAACATGCATAATGCAACATCCACTCTAGGATCCAAATAATAATAAGCTATAATATAAACCAACACTTTTAATCCATCTTTCTTTCTTACAATTTCTGAACATGTTAAAGGCAACGATGTCTATACAATATCCACACTCGTTTCTTAATTTTTCTGCTTATAATTGTTAACTTGAGATATCCTCACACAGGTGTCTAAGCCAACACCTCCAACAAAAAGCACCAAAAGACAGTATCAGGTTTGCATTTCTTCAAAATCTGAAAGGCTATGGTCATCACGAGTTCAGTATTAAATGCATCAAAGCTTTTTTACTTTTTGTTTTTCTTATGTTCCTTCTTTAGGTATCTTAGAAAAGATCATATTCAGCATTGCGTACCCAGTAATGTGTCCAGCGGTCTCGCTACACTTCCTCTTTCCTTCGTGTATGTCAACAGCACCGCTGACAAGTCAAAACCAACTAACAAGTCTCCACCGACAGGAGAACTGCTTAACGGAAAGAAGTCTTATCAACAGATCGTGTCTTACTTCACAACAAACACCATGTCCCCGGATGAAATATATAAACTAGGTTTAAAGATGCTGAATGAACTCTATCCACAGGTGGGTGAAGTGCTACAAAAAATTGTTGTACATACATGCGTAAGTATATACGGAAAATGTTCATTCAGGTTTTCAAGCTTTGAACTAATCTCAGCACCCACCATTAGTTGAACACTGGCTATAGGTAGTTACTTCACTTGCAAAACGTTCCTTAATGCAAGCATCATATTAGCACTTCAGTGCCAAAGCAACTTTTATCAAGATGATAAATTTTTAAAAATGAAAAATCAGACGGTTTGTTTCCCTCTCCCCCCCCCCCCCCCCCCCCCCCCCCCC